ATAATAATTATTAATATCAACAACAATAATAAGAATACTAGGGAAAAAGAGGAAAAATAACAGAAAAATAGAACCAATGAAAGACAAGTGATGCAAAAGAAAAAAATTGCTCACCACCAACTGACTGATGCCCACACAGTCCAGGAGAGGTACCTTCACCCTTCCCAAGCTTCCCCCCAGTTTTATTTCTGAGCATAATGTCATAGGGTTTGGAATATCCCTTGGGTCAGCTGGGGTCAATTGTTCTGGCTGTGTCCCCTCCCAATCTCCTGTGCACCCCCAGCCTGCTCACTGATGGGGTGAGGGGCAGAAAAGGCCTTGACTCTGTTCAAGCACTCCTCAGCAACAGCTGAACCCTGTGTTTCCAGCACAAACATGAAACATAGCCCCATACCAGCTACTATGAAGATAATTAACTCCATCCCAGCCAAAACCAGTGCAGTGACCTTGTATGCAATCCAGATACTCAGCATGCAAAGCAGAGATGTTATGACTGTTGCATTAATAAGCTTTAACTTTTGACACCATTATACTTTTCTCCACAGTCTCACTCAGATTCTTCAAAAGCACCACTGGCTTCACATAGTTTGTTGTTACATCATCATCTCCCAGCACATTAATTCCCAGGTAAATGAACTAACCCGCTATAGACAGTGAATACCTGTAATGGGTGCTACATAAAGTTTAGCAAAATCAAATACTGTACCAGCAAGGCTGTAATAGTTCTGTGTACCCTCAGGCTTCAGTTCTGAATTACAGCATTTTTTCAGGTTACATATATGACAGTGGTAATTTATTTACTGAATTAACTCTGCTTTGGTTGACTGATTTTTGGTGATGTGGAGAAATTTACAGTGATGTCAGTGAATGCAGGAGATACTTATCATTTCTAAACATGGAACATTTGTGTTAGACTTCATATTTGTAAAACTACAGTTACTGCTTTCACTCTCCCCCTCAACATTCCTACTATCAACATAGATACTTGCCTATTTTTCTATATTGACTTGATAAATTAGACGTGAAAATACAATTGAAATATGCCAATTTTGCAGTAATTAAGGATCTGATTCAGCAAACAAAATAGAAAACAATCTGGAGCTAATACTCAGAATGAGATCACTCTGCAGAGATATTTCTGAGTGAATTTGTTAAGTCTATTTTGTGCCTGCAAACTTTGCATATAATTCAAATATGTGGGATTTTGGAAGGGAAAAAGGTAGAAGGGAGGCTTACCTTGTACAAAAGCAAAATATCATGAGAATTCCATGCCATTAGACACCAGAACCTCTCCTGCAATAGTGATTTATTGTGGGAACGAATAAGAAAGACTGTGTGTATAAATCAGAGTTTTGGCTGAGTTGAGGCTCAACTTCAAAGCCTTCACACTTCCTTCCCTCTATTTTTTACTCTGTTCTACAATTTCTTTTCCCAGTGAAAACTACCTTTCTCCTTCTCAAGGTCTGCCTTCTTGGGTGCTTTTTAAACACTCCCGATTATAGCAGGGGTTTTGACCTTCTGCTTTAGATTCTGTGTAACTATCGATGTCTCACTTGGGAGCATTACAGATACTCTGCTGCACTGGGCTGAGAAGTGCTGAGCTGATTTCAGAGGGTGATCTTCATTGCTTTGAAAATACTAAGGGTCATATGGTAGGGTAGGCATTAAAAAAACCCAAACCAAAACAAAACAAAATGAAACAACTTTAAAATGAGGCAAAATAAATAACATAGCTTCGTGAGATGTCTCTGCCCATGGCAGGGGGGTTGGAACTAAATGATCTCAAGGTCTTTTCCAACCCTAACTATTCTATGATTCTATGATTCTGTGTAGTGCCTGATATGCAGCTGGTTTTGCTTCTGCAGATGAACTTGGCAGAATGCCTGAGCGATAATTACCAAAAATATTTTCCTAACTTTTCTTAAGTTAAATGAACCAACTACTGAAAGAAAATTGTTCACTTGTTATAGAACAACTTCAGAATATTAAAGTGGGTAGTATCACAATAAATACTGATTTTATTTTTCTTTACCTCTTATTAGACTTCAGTGACTTCAAGGTTAGCCTTGGGGTCTTTTTTTTCGGTGAGGGGAGGAAGTGAGCTGAGAAAGAGGGAAGGTCCTGTGGAGATGGAGGAGTATTTTCTGTCTTTTACCAGTGATTTTTAGCAAAGGACAAGCTAATGAATGTGCAAGCATGCAACCATGACAGCAGGGCAGGAAGAAAAAGCCTCATTACCCACAAAATTGCTGAAATTACTGTTCTCATACGTTTCTACTGAAGAGATGTTGTTTTCACCAGACTGAGTTTCTGTTATTTGTCCTGACTGTGGACTTTTTACAACTTTTGTTCACTTTTCATCTCTCTAATAAACACTTACACAAACAGTTGTACCCATCTTGAAACTCAAAGGTGTGATTGCAAGTCATGGAAACCTACATGTCAAAATTTAAGTTCTGCAGCTGCTAAGCCTGGGTTTTGGCAGCATCTGCAAAACTCACGCAGGATGCTGTGCCAACCTGGGAACCATACTGATGTCAGTCCATCTTTATTAATCATCAGCCTAGCTTGGATAGAAATGTTTCAGGTAAGCCTGCATGAATTTTGACATAATCTCTGAGCTTCACTGTAGGTAGGTACTTTGACACAGATTCTTCCTGTTCACTAACAACTTCCCTTTGGTATGTATGTGGTACCCTGTACTCCAATATAGACTGTAGAATATAGACTTCAAATATTTTTAAATAGTCCATGACTTAGGGGGCTGTCAAAAGTCCTCACATACTGAAGGAACCAATCTAACTTTTCATTTGTTTTTGCAAGGTAGAGGGCAGTTATGGGTAGATGATATTCTATGTGTGCACTTTTACATTTAGTCAAGCCTTTTGTAGAGCAAATGCTGTTTTATCCTTCTAGAGAAGAGTGCATAACTTGGTCTTTCTGAAGACTCTAATTTTGTAGATCCTGCTTTGTTTCTGTGCCATCACAGAATAGATTGAGTTCAGTGATATGGTTCCTAACCAGGGGAAGAATCATAGTAGTATTGAAGGGATTCTGGACCACAGAAATGAAATGGCTTGTTCAAAACCACACAGCAAGGATGTGGATGGGACAGAACAGAGAAGGGTTTTTTTGCACTTTCTTTGCCCTTTATCACTTGTAGGAAATTCCATAAGAAGATGTTTCAGAGAAAATCTGTTCTCTGCCTTTAAAAAAAAAAAAAAAAATCTTACTTATTTGTCTTTTCTGTCTCCACTCTCTCTCCATATTCTCATCCTGCTGCACTGATGTCAGAATTTGGTATACCTTGGTGCTATTCTAGTCTAATAGTTCTTAGACTGCCTTTATGCTATACCTGTGAGCTGAATTAAGCATGCCATCCTCCAGCTCATAATTTAAAACCTTAAATAAAACTCAGTGTAACAGTGATCCCTGCTGTAAGCCACTGGACAGGTCTCTACAGACTAACACATTGTCATTTATCATTAAGCTTTGTTTACTGTATTTGCTCTCCCCTCACTGTTACCATAAAAATCCTATGGTTCAGACACTAGCTGTCAGTAATCAGAGTTAAGACATTTACCTCATTGCTGGTCAGTTCAGTACCTTCATGTTCCTGGAAATGGTTGCCAAAAGAAAAAGTTAACAGTTGCACAGTAATAAGGTCATAAGATTCATAAGAACAGCAATACAGGGGGGGAGGAAAACAATAGCAAAGGCATCTGGGAGATCTGAAATAGTAGACGTTTGCTTGAGAGAATAACATCAGTGGCAATGACATCAAGAGGAAATGGGAACAGTTATGAAAAAAGCAGATCATTAGAAGGAAAAGGAAGTGCTGGGCATGGAAAGAATCCAATATCATGTTCAATTAAACTTGTATTACACATCTAGTCAAGTCAACTCTTCAGAGGTTAAAAAGAAAATTGGCTTGATATCGGTATTTCACATCTGACATATTTTAGCTAAAATAAAAAACTAAAAGAAGGATACAGAAAATCTCTTGTATTACTTGATTGTTTTATAGGTTCTGATTTACAGAGGTTCAGTGGATCTCAAGTGGAAGAGTACCACTCTATGTTGCTGCAGGCCTGAGCTGGGGATGTTATCGCTTAATATAGGTAATTTAATATTGTGAACTACATTAAAGATATCTTGAGACAATCGTTTAAGGAGAAGTTTGTGTAATAACATTTATCAATGTATTCTGCAATATTAAAGAAGAGGCGTATTTTGAATTATTAAGCTATATTTCTCTTTTGAGATGGAAATCAAGTGAATTTTCAGTTCAAATAAATCTCCAAAACCTCAAGGGCTTCTTTCTTCCTCCTGTACTTCTCCCAATTCAATTGCATTCTTGATTACCCTCCAAAATCTATTCATTTATGCTGATTGTTAAATATCCTCTCCCCATTTCTACTAACTACATCATTATCAGCCTTACGGCAGCAGGACCATTTATCCTGTCCTTTACTGTGCTCTCATATTACCATCCCTCCTCTCTTCTGAACACTGACCTTCACCTTCTCCACAAGTCCTCTGTCTTTTCTACTGTCAAAACCTCCTTCCCTGTTTATTTCTACCTGATCTGATTTTAACTGGATTTAACCAAACCTCTGCTAGGTGTCAGGTGCTGAACAGTAAACCTGAAAATTTCATTTTAATTAACCTTCAAAAGTTCTTTAGTCCTTTGAAAGTGTATTTTGTGGGGATGATGTGAGAAAGTGAGAATGGTTGTTTGGATTTTTTTTTTTCCAATTTTTGTATATGGCTTTATATAGAATTTGGAATAAAAAATGTTAAGAGGGGAAAATGTGATCAATTTTCTAAGGTAAAGAAGTGAAAGCAGAAGGACTTTCATTTAATTGGACACATTTTTATTATTTTATCTTCTTTCACTTTTCTGTCTTTTTCCCATGTCCACTCAGTCTTTCCACACCATTTTTTTTTTTTTTTTTTTTTCCCTGCCACAGAAAATATGTATGACGTGATGTATCACTTTTTGGTAGGCTATAAGGTTAGGAATCCAGATCTTATCAGGTAAGTGCATTGCACTGCTCCCAGAATTGAACAACAGAGTTTTTCCATGCAGCAAAGGGATTTTGGGTTATCTCTTTGGCATGTGGTGATCAACTTTCTCTTCCAAATAACCATCTGAAGCTTTAACTATTCTTGAAAATTTAAGGATTGTTTTGTTTAGGAATAAAAATGTAGAACAGATGTTTGGGAGTTTTTCTTCTTCCTTCCTTCTGTCTCTGGACATAAAACAGAGGAGCAACTGAGATTTCTGTATATGCAGGGCAGCACAAAATCAGTATGAACCCCTAAACCAGCAAGATGTTGGATATATGTGCAACAGGCTGGTATGACCATGCAGACTCCTGCTTCCTCACGACTCCCAGGGTTGGAGTAGGCAGCTGGATGGTGCAGGAAAGCACAGGGAACAGTTGTGCCACCCTTACAACAAGAATGGAAAAGAAAGAACTTTTATCATCCCCTTCACCTCAAAAAGAATGGGCAGCAGTTTTGCTTTATGTTTTTTAGGCTCTTAACAGTGCATGTGCCCCCCTTTCTGCTTAAATCAAAAAGCCAGGCAAAGGTCATCAGTTTTATGAACTGTATAATGCTAAGAGGGCAGGCCTCTTAGGTGAAAGGAAAAAAAAAGATCGAAAGTGAACAGGTGAAAATAATCAAGATTTAAATTCTCTCTTAATGTGGTAAATTATGTTGGTCAAGCTAGCGCAGCACTGAAATGGGCAGGAATGGAAGCTCACATTTCCCCAGGGTGTGTCTAATGCAACTCTAAAACAACACACATAATCCCAAGCTATTAAAGCACTCGTAAAAGAACACTCCTCAAGTATATTAATACTGTGTGAAGTGTGTGTCTGCTTTATGGGATGCTTTTTCTTAGTCAGACTACCCCAGTATGGAATATCCTGTTGCTAATGCACCTCTCTCTTTTTCTCTGTTTTGCTGTTCAAGTTTACTAACATTAGTGGATTACCCCCTAGCATTTCTAGATCTACGGGAAAATATTATATTCATTTTTTTTTTTCCATGGCAATAGTGGAAAATGCTATCTGAGTGCTCCTTATTTAAGCATCATCTAAGTGCTGGCAGTTCAGCAATGTACTGCACTTTACGAATGTTTGTGGTAGGAACTTCTGGTAGTTTTTCTAGGTAGGTATACAATATTTAATTGCCATGGTATTTGACAGCATCTTGTAGTTACCAGTGAGATTTGCTTTTGACCCATGCACTGATGTTCCAGGTCTTTCTTTCAGGAACAGTGGAGCTGTGTCTTTAAATTAAACAGAATTGGCAGTGTGTGCATTAAATACAAACAGCAGTCTTTCATGTTAGATCTGAAAGAAAGAGCACAGGTTGGTGGGAATTTTGTGTATCAAGAAAAAAAAAAAAGCCCAACAAAACAAAGCCTGGCCCTCCTGTATAAAATTCCACTTCAAAAAAGAAAACCCAGAAAGTGAGTATTTTTTTTTACAATCAAGCGGAAAGTCAAAGAGACTCTTGAACTTTTCCTGTTTTTGTTGTGTCTAATGTCCAGCAATTGGTTAAGACTAATAGCCATTTTCTCAGGGTTACATTAATACTTCAAAGAATTTGACCAAACCACAACTGGGGTTTCCTTTTGAAAATGTTGATGGCAAGTTTGATTAAAACCTTTTACTCCCATAAACAACTTATGCAGTTAAATAACCCTTTTATTTTAGACTTAATTTATTAAAGTCTCATCTCACCCATTGGCTTAGTGAAGCCATTACTTTGCAAACATCTGATAGAAGAGGGAGTCTGAGGTGCTTAAGTGCAAATAAATATCTGTAGAATTTAAACCTTTACCTCTACTTAAGAACAAACTATTATTTTGAGCTGAACATCTGCAAGAAGTTTAAAGGAAGACAGGATTCTTCTATCTTGGTCTATAATGTTTCTATGTATCTACTGGAGCTGGAGATTATTCTTGTATAATGAATGATACATACTCCTAGCATGATGTCTTCTCTGGGGAAGACTGAGGTTTTTAGCCCTGCCTCCAGACTTCCTATTCCTACTCTAGCTCCTAACTGCCTTAATATATAAATATGAGATTCCAGTACTCATCAAGGCATTAAGTTCTGTCTTCTAGCAGATGACTTGTGGACTGTGACAGAAATTATTTTGAAAAGTGCCTGTAAAATTGAATACCACAGTACTAAATCAATCTATTTCTTATAATTTGCATTATTCCAAAAGCACTGGGAAACAGAAAACCACCTGATAATCTTAGCAGAGAATTTTTCCACTGTGCAGAGTTTTACAACAAATAAAATACATCTCTCATCAATAGTTTATCTCCGTACCAGCAGGTTTCATGTTAGGTGGATTGTCTGCCTGCACCACTCAAACAGGATTGCTCTAAATTCATGCAGTTAGCCCTGCACTCTCCACCTGCTCGTCCCCTTCTTTACACCCTCTCTTCTTTAAGGAAGAACATTAGGAACTCACCTATGTGAAAACCAGTACAGTTGAAAGAAAGAAAGAAAGAAAAAGTTAATTTAGCCTAGGACTTAATGGCTGTCTGAATAAACATGGTGTTGCCACAAGGAATAAAACTGTGGGAGTGAGAAGTGGTGACTGCAGTGATGGGAAGTGGGAACTACTTAATTTGGTGGAAATGCTGGCTGAAAATGATAGTTGAATTACAATGTAGCTTTATTCTGGATTGAATATTGGCTGTCCTCCCACAGTCACTGCAAATCTGGTATAATAAAGCCCTGTATAAACATATGCTAGCTAATTTAACAGAACTGCGTTCACGTATCTACTCCTGATAGCAATTGCTATCAGGATCTGCCAATGCACAGGGCTGGTATAGGTGGGTTTGCAGCCTCAGACTTCTTTTGCAGCCAGTGTGCTGAGAGATCAGGAGCTACAACTGTCCACCTGGCAGTAACCTCTGTCTCACATACTGCATGCGCTGGACATTGGATGAGCTAAGTATCCAGCCTGCAGTTTCGTCTATGCATCTCATGCTGTTGCTCTAGAGCCCCATTGATTCAGACAGTGTGTTAATGACACCTGATACACATATTCAATACAGAACATGGGTATTCAAGTTCAGTTTCCTTGTGCAAATACTGGCCACAGTATTTAAGTCTTTGAGTAAGCTATAGAAAGAGAAATATAAAATCAAAATATGAATCTCCATATAATAATAGAGCTGCCAGAATGATTTTCTAGACATATCTTTCACTCTGATTAGTTCTCTTTTTCATTCTTGTGCCACTACAAGGTTTCTGCAACACTGAGGAAAAAGTGCAGCTTATCTGAACTACAAGCATCTTAGTTAGATCCCTTATAGCTTATAAAACGGACATAAATATATGTCCAGTGGCAAATAGCTTTGGGACATTTAAATCACATTTGCTGCTTGAATTTAAATAAATTCTAGTGACCTAGCACTCTGTTGACCTCTGGAGAGAAAATACCTCTGAATGCACCTTATTCCCAATATTGTGAACAATCACTTCGCTGTTTCTTACAATTTTGCTTTCACCATATTGCTTTGCTTTGATTTCCTCTTATTTTTCATCCTGACATACACACACACTAATGGTTGTTAATATCCTTGCTAGAGACTGAGTCTTGGTTGCATTGCTCTTCAGGTAATAGCTAGGGGTAAGCAGGCATGGGACCATAAAAATACAATCTTTAATCTTAAGGACTTCCTGTTCAGGAAGGGCTAAGTGCAGACCAAATGGCACCGAGCAAACAATGTGACCTGCACTGACTTTTAATGTGAATAAACAATCTGATTAAGAGTTATTCATTGCTAGATATTCTCAGCAATTCTGAAAGAAAAACAGTACCTCTGCTGATGCTGAAATTTCAGTTGTTTCCACTAGAATCAAATAAGCCTTGCTCACTGGGGAGTTAGACTGTTAGATTCCTTTCCTCAGTTAAAGAAACAGAATAGTACCTTTCCACTCCCTAGTACCTACATCTTGCTTTCACACTTAGAGACATGCATCTAGCAGCATGTTGCTTTTTGGCCGTATTATTAGATTTACTCAGAATCGGAATACTACAGTAGCCACCACTGGAAGACCCTTCTTTGGAAGCCCCTTCTCTACATGTCACATCTGAAGAATTGGATCTTTAGGCTTAAAGACATATGTTTCAAAATCACTGAACCTTACCACATATAATGATAGGTGTTTTGTCTGGAAATCGGCTGAAGTCAAGTTAGTGCTGGTTCCCAGTGCTCTGTTGACATGGTGAGCACCAGGCTTCATGCCAAGGGAAAGCTAGTTTGAGTGGCATGGAGAGAAATCTCTACTTTCTTCCTGAAAAATGTACAGGCTACCTTAATTTCTACTACTAAAATTATAAATTCCATCTCTATGACTATTGTATTTTAAGCAGGTTTTTTTTGTATCTAGGATTGCAAAGAAGGAAATAAAAAGTGGGCAAATCTTAATCACAACACAAAATTTATGCCTTACTGACAGTTAAGGACAGGTAGAAAGGTCAAAAAAGAATTTTACCTCATAATTTAATTTTGTAGAGCTGAGATTTTTTTTTCCACTCAATTGCTGGTTAACCCATTGGTTAAAATATTAATTTGCTTGGTATTAGATTAAAACATTCAAATACTGTTTTATTATTCATATTGTCAATGATGTAGGATTTCATATTTGAAATAGAATAGAATTTCTCTTCCCTTTTTTAGCTGGAGTCTCTCCTGACAATGTGACGCGTCATGGAGAGATGGTGTAACTATATTTTTGATACAGATTATTCATATCCACAGCCTCAACCCCATTCCTCTCTTCCTCCTCCTCCTCACCCCCTCCCCCCACTTTTCTTTGTAAATTACATGGTTTGTCAGTTCAAAGCTTGGACTACAGAATTTCTGATATTCCTCTGTGCAAGTGTTATGCCAGCGTTATTCCTCCAGCTATCTTGCCGTCTCTCAGGCTACAAAATAAATAACCAGGATGAACTATTACAGCACTTACTTCCCTGTCTCTAATGGG